TTATTAAAATATTCTAAACCTTGAATATAAAATAATTTGTATTACTTTCATAAACAAATATTAACACCAGGTGTCAATTCAAAACTTAAAAAACAACAAGAATAAGAATATGGTCCATTTCTTTTATATCTTGAATATTTCTTCTATTTATAATGGAAGTGAGACAAATTACTCATATTTAAATTCCAACACCTATTAGGTTACACTAGTAAACACAAATTAAGCTACCAAACAAAAGCATCAAACCAACAGAGGGTGAGTTGCTACCCAATTTACAAGCCATCAAATTCAGCCTAATTAATTAAAATGTTTTGGTGAAGGTTACACATTAAATGAAGTAATTGATATGTTACTAATTAATAATCATGAACTCTCAAATCTTTAAACTTCATTTTTATTGTAATATATTGCTACTTTACTATATACAAGTGACACTGATTTCATTTGCTACAAAAAGAAAAAACATTCAAAGAGTTAAGTCATAATTTTAAAATATATAAACAATTGTATGCATTTTGTATATCATTACATAAAATTTATTCACAAAGAAAAATTTGACCATATAATAATAGTTAACAAAGTAAATTGCATAACGTTAATGTTAATTATACTTACTTAAATTCTAAGTTTGTAACTATAATCTATTAAATTCAGTAGCAGTTACAAACATGCAATTAAATAAAGTCTTACTAGAGTATAAATCTTATAGTCAAGTTTCTTAAGAGGAAACAATCTTAGGCATTTGATGATTCATTTCAATTGTTCTATAGTTAATGTATTATAACTCTCTTATCTTAAGAACACAAATCAGTGTTAGTTTGTAACACAAATGTTTCCTTCACTAGTGTCTGTTACACCTAATTCTGTCATGGTTCTTGAGACAAACCTTGGACAAAACTATGCTTCACAACCAATGCACTTGCAAGAAAACTACTTAAAACCAAGTCTGAAAAACGAGCTTCCTAATTTCGATGCTCATTCCTCTCAGGGTAATTTCTTGCAAGATTTTCACCATATTGATCAGTTTCACGTGCATGGCTCTTCATCGTCTAATCATGTTTTTGGGGTCCAGACTCAAAGTTTTGATCCTTTTGGTAATGAACAATGCGCAAATACAGGTTTTGAAGTTTATAGTGGCAAGTCTTTTGCTGAGAACAATAATGGTAGTAATCAAAATGTTCATTTTATTGATAATTTTCAATACGATGGTTATGGTTTGAATATTCCTAGAAGGAATCGTCTGGATCTTACGGTTGAAAACCAAAGCTATTTTCCCTTTAATAATCCTTCAGAAACCAAACCGTTGAACTATGTTGTACCAGATGATGAAGTCTCGAGCATAGCACCAACAAGTTATTACCAAAGAGGTGATTTGAATAGAAACAACAGGCTACTATCTCCGACCACGAGAAGGGCGTTTAAAGCGAAGAAGAAATCAAGCATTGTGAAGGGACAATGGACCGTTGATGAAGATAGGTACTATTTAATTTTTCTAACACAACTGTACTTTTCTCATATTTCGGTTTTTATGTGTTTTGATTTGAATGCTTCTTCTATAAAGCAGAATGTTGATTCAAATGGTGGAACAATATGGAATGAGGAAGTGGTCTCATATTGCTCAGAGATTACCTGGAAGAATAGGGAAACAATGCAGAGAAAGATGGCATAACCATTTAAGGCCTGACATTAAGGTATCTATGCATTTGCGCACAAAACTTTCGTTTTCGCACATGTTTGAAATGCAACTACTTCAAAACCCTCTCAAGTATCATGGCGGTCTTGTTTAGTTTAGTTGCAATTTAATCATAACAAAATAAATAGAGGCTCGATTTAACTAGGGTTTAACTGTGACAAATATTATATGTGATCATATTTAGTCACGGTTTAAGCGCGACAAATTTTGAGTCATGTACAGTGACCCGCCTTGCACACTCAAAAACATCCCTGCCTATTTATAATCATGTTTTTTCATATGAATTTTTCTTTTGTATTAAATTTTAATTTGCTCATTTTTGCAGAAAGATATATGGACTGATGAAGAGGACAAGATATTGATCCAAGCTCATACCGAGATAGGAAATAAATGGGCAGAAATTGCGAAAAGATTGGCGGGAAGAACTGAAAACTCAATAAAAAACCATTGGAACGCAACAAAGAGAAGACAATATTCGAAAAGGAAATGCCGGTCCAAGTATCCTAGAGGCACACTTCTGCAGGAATATATCAAAAGCTTGAACTTGGACCAAAATCCACCAAGAGACTTTCGAAAAAAACCGTGTTCTAATGCTAAGAAAACCGTTACTTGTAGCACAAGCAAAGAGCCAATACAACAAATTCCTCAACCACAGATCATGAATCAGTTTTGTCCGAAGGACCAATCCGTGCCGAACTACGAATTTAATGATTTTTGTTTGGATGATGATTTATTTGAAGAAGGGTGTGGTATTGATTCTCTGCTAGGTGATATGGCAAGTGTTCCTACAATGAATGAGAAAGAATTTGATGAAAAACTATGTGATAATAAGGGAAGCATGCAAGTTGTTAATCTTGATGAACATCAATTTGAGACTGAGATTGAAGTTAAGAAGGAGTTGGATTTGGTGGAGATGATCTCTCAGGCTAATCAAACTATTTGATGAATAAATCTGTCCAAAGATGATATAGAATTTGGATTCAAAAATTAATTTTGATACTGTTTATGTTATGTCACACTTATGATAATTAAATATTACAAAAAAAAAAAGAAGGTATCATTGCATGTTGCAATGTCCGGCGTTTCAGCTCAATCGATAAGTGTGTAGAGACATTCGACTGCATGGATTCGAATTCGAATTCGAACCCCAATATTATACCATTAGATAAAACAGGAATGCTATGTTTACACCACATCTTACACCTATTTCCTACACCGTATACACTGTTCACCGTATTTATACGGTGAACAGTGTTTTTTTTTAATAAAATAATATATTTTTTTAAAATATTAATTTTTTTAAAAAAAAATATTTATTTTTAAAATTTATTTTATAACACAAATATAAGATTGCGTATTAACCAATTTTACAGTTGCATTAACCACAAAAATCTACATCATTAACCAATTATTTTACCTATAATTTATTAACCACTTTCACTACTTCATTAACCAATAAAATACATACTATTAACCATATTCTGGGAAATTTGTTCACGTATTTGTGAACAGTAAATTGGGTGTAGGGTGTAGGAAAGAGTGTAAGAATAGCATTTTTCTTAGATAAAAATATAATGTATATCATTACATGTTTGTTTAAGTGAAGAAATATACTTTAAGTTTTCAACCAACATTGTTTATAGAAAATAATGAATAAAGATGACATTTTATATAAGATTTTAGTTATTTCTTTTACTTCATTTTTTTAATCGTCTTATTAATTTAAAGAAAATCTAAATTAATAAAGTAATGAAATGTCAACAGAGTAAACGAATGCAATTAAATAAGTTTATATTCTTTTTAAATTATAAATATTTAATTTTTGTTTTGTTGATATTTTGTATAAATATTAAAACGAAAGAGGGAAGTAGTAGTATAAATACTCCTAGATAAAGAGGTAATTACAAATTACAAGTCTCAGTTACATGCTTTATTTAATTAATTAATATATTAATATTGGTCTTTGGGAGTAAATGGTCTGTGTGTAACTACATGAAGGAACAACTCTAAAGAACGTTATTAAGATTTTGTCAAAAAAAAAAAACGTTATTAAGATTTTGTCAAAAAAAAAAACGTTATTAAGATGAGTTAGAAAAACGTATTAAGATTGCTTTAATTATATTTATTAAGATTTTTTTTACTCAACTAAGAAATTATTGTGTTTTTTATATTAAGCAATGTATGTATTGAACATAGAGTACTAAGGGTATTTTAACCCAATTACAAAATATCTAAAAATTATAAGGTCAAATAAGTTTAACGGTCTGTTTGGTTGGAGGTAGATGGAGGAGAGGAGATATTTATAAATATTTGTGTTTGATTCATTTTTTATAAGGGGAGGAGAGGGGAGGGGAGCAAAATCTCTCGTAAACTCATATTTTGTTCCCCTCAAATTGAGGGGATTTGAAGGGAGGGAAGATTCATTATTTATAATTTTATTATATTCACTAATTTAACCTTAATTATTTTTTTAATTCCATGATTGTCCTTATTGAGTAATTAAATATTAGGGTTTTTCTTTATGTTGTTTCACGTTTTATTTGCTTGTGCGGCTGCTATTTGTTTTTATTGAATTTCTCTCTCTCTTTCTCTCTCTTGTAGTTGAAGCTTGCATTTTTGGCTTCCTTTGTTGCTCTTGCAGGTTTGTTTTCTTCAAATTCATTCTCTACAATTTTTCATTCGTTAATTATCGTTCTACTATTTTCTTAATCATTATAATCATTCAATTATTTCATATGAATTATGATGGAGTTGTTTCATTGCTTTATGTTAATTTACAATTCATTTTCATGGCTTATTTCATATGAATTATGATAGCTCTTTAACACAATATAATTTCTTCCGTTTACTCTATTGTAACTATTAATCCGGTAACAAATGACATCATCATGGATATTCCTCTAATATGATAGTATTTGATATTATGAAATTTAAACAGTTAAATTTGTAGAGTAGTCTCCTTGCATAACGAGATGTGTAAAATTCTATCTATGGAAGCTAATAATAACATAAAGAAAAACAGTTCTTCATGCACAATAATTTCTTTTACGATAAAAATGAAAGGATCTAAAATGTATGTTATTTTTAGTAAACTCCATAGAATTTTGTTAAAAATTTCTTAAATTCAAAAGAATAGTGATGGATGATTTAAACATCAAATTTACTAAATTATTTATAAAAAAAAATATGAAGTTTTATGTCTTTTGAATTTTAGTTCTAACATTATTTTTATCTGGTTTAGTTTTAAAATTAACTCTAACATTATTTTATTTATTTTTAGCTATAAAAATTAATTTTTTTGGATTAGATGGATCATCAAGATCAAAGAATTGTTATCAACAGATGGTTTGATTTACGTCGAAGAGCTATAGTTCAACTACTGTGTGCTATTGTTTACTATTATGTCCGAATGTCTCGTAAGAGAAAATTGTGTTATAGTATGAGCTCTGAGAGAGAAAGGGTTCGCGAAGAAATAATCTATCGAATTAGTAATAGTGAAACTAGTAGAAATATATTAAGAATGTGTCCTAAAACTTTTATGAGCTTATGTGGTCTGTTAGAAAGAGAGGGGGGATTACAAGCTACTCAATGGTCCAGTGTGGAAGAGGGGGGATTCCAAGCTACTCGATGGTCCAGTGTGGAAGATGGGGGATTACAAGCTACTCGATGGTCCAGTGTGGAAGAGCAAGTTGCAAAATCAATCTACATATTAGCACATAATGCTAAAAATCGTGAAGTCAACTTTTGGTTTCGTCGTTCTGGCGAGACTATTAGTCGTCATCTTCATCAAGTTTTGAGAGCTATTCTTGAATTAGAAGAAAAATTTCTTATCCAACCCGATGGCTCAACGGTCCCTCCTGAAATTTCTAGTAGTTATAGATTCTACCCGTATTTTAAGGTAAGTTTTGTTATTAATAAATTATATTTCCTACACAAAATTACTAAAATTTTTAGTAGTCATATGTTTTATTGATAAAAATATATAATATTGTGTTAGGATTGTGTTGGTGCAATAGATGAAACGCATATACGTGTCAAAGTGTCAGCAAAAGATGCTCCTAGATATCGCGGTAGGAAAGACTACCCGACACAAAATATTTTAGCAGCATGTACTTTTGATTTAAAGTTCACTTATGTGCTCGCGGGATGGAAAGTGTCTGCCTCTGATTCGAGAATAATAAAGAATGCATTAACACGTGAAGATAAACTTAAAATTCCTCAAGGTAATATAAGAGTAACCTAGAGTTATAGTTATTTATATTATATATATTAAACCATCACATTTATCATTTACCTTTACTATAGGAAAATATTATCTTGTTGACGCTGGATTCATGTTGACAAGTGGATTAATTACACCTTATAGAGGAGTTCGGTATCACCTGAAAGAATATTCGGCTAGAAATCCACCCCAAAGTTCTAAAGAATTGTTTAATCTTCGACATTCATCTTTACGCAATGCAATTGAAAGAGCCTTTGGTGTATTAAAAATAGACTTGAGATTTTATCTAATTCAACAGAGCCAAATTATGGAGTTAAAGCTCAAAAGTTAATCATTTTTGCATGTTGCATTCTTCACAATTATCTAATGAGTGTGGACCCGGATGAAGACCTTATAGCTGAAGTAGATGCTGAAATTGCAAATCAAAATGTATCTCATGACAATCATCAAGGTTCAAGAAGTGATAGAGATGAACTTGCTTTGGGCGGGGTTATAAAAGATAGTGTAGCACATCAAATGTGGTTAAATTATCAAAATAACGATTTAGCTTAAAGAGTCTGACTTGTATTTTATATTATTACTTTTATGTTTATTGTTCTTTGATGAAGTAGTACCAAATTTATTATGATGTGTATTGTGATATTGAGACTTCTTGATAATTATATTTATTAATTTTGTTGTGTTATAAATCTTCATATTCATGGTTTATGGCATCGAAAAATCAACTACCAGTTAATTGTGATTTTTCAATGAAGTAAAATACAAATCATAATAAATTTGGTACTACTTCATCAAAGAACAATAAACATAAAAGTAATAATATAAAATACAAGTCAGACTCTTTAAGCTAAATCGTTATTTTGATAATTTAACCACATTTGATGTGCTACACTATCTTTTATAACCCCGCCCAAAGCAAGTTCATCTCTATCACTTCTTGAACCTTGATGATTGTCATGAGATACATTTTGATTTGCAATTTCAGCATCTACTTCAGCTATAAGGTCTTCATCCGGGTCCACACTCATTAGATAATTGTGAAGAATGCAACATGAAAAAATGATTAACTTTTGAGCTTTAACTCCATAATTTGGCTCTGTTGAATTAGATAAAATCTCAAGTCTATTTTTAATACACCAAAGGCTCTTTCAATTGCATTGCGTAAAGATGAATGTCGAAGATTAAACAATTCTTTAGAATTTTGGGGTGGATTTCTAGCCGAATATTCTTTCAGGTGATACCGAACTCCTCTATAAGGTGTAATTAATCCACTTGTCAACATGAATCCAGCGTCAACAAGATAATATTTTCCTATAGTAAAGGTAAATGATAAATGTGATGGTTTAATATATATAATATAAATAACTATAACTCTAGGTTACTCTTATATTACCTTGAGGAATTTTAAGTTTATCTTCACGTGTTAATGCATTCTTTATTATTCTCGAATCAGAGGCAGACACTTTCCATCCCGCGAGCACATAAGTGAACTTTAAATCAAAAGTACATGCTGCTAAAATATTTTGTGTCGGGTAGTCTTTCCTACCGCGATATCTAGGAGCATCTTTTGCTGACACTTTGACACGTATATGCGTTTCATCTATTGCACCAACACAATCCTAACACAATATTATATATTTTTATCAATAAAACATATGACTACTAAAAATTTTAGTAATTTTGTGTAGGAAATATAATTTATTAATAACAAAACTTACCTTAAAATACGGGTAGAATCTATAACTACTAGAAATTTCAGGAGGGACCGTTGAGCCATCGGGTTGGATAAGAAATTTTTCTTCTAATTCAAGAATAGCTCTCAAAACTTGATGAAGATGACGACTAATAGTCTCGCCAGAACGACGAAACCAAAAGTTGACTTCACGATTTTTAGCATTATGTGCTAATATGTAGATTGATTTTGCAACTTGCTCTTCCACACTGGACCATCGAGTAGCTTGTAATCCCCCTCTCTTTCTAGCAGACCACATAAGCTCATAAAAGTTTTAGGACACATTCTTAATATATTTCTACTAGTTTCACTGTTACTAATTCGATAGATTATTTCTTCGCGAACCCTTTATCTCTCAGAGCTCATACTATAACACAATTTTCTCTTACGAGACATTCGGACATAATAGTAAACAATAACACACAGCAGTTGAACTATAGTTCTTCGACCTAAATCAAACCATTTGTTGATAACAATTCTTTGATCTTGATGATCCATCTAATCCAAAAAATTAATTTTTATAATTAAAAATAAATAAAATAATGTTAGAGTTAATTTTAAAACTAAAATAGATAAAAATAATATTATAACTAAAATTCAAAAGACATAAAATTTCATATATATATATATATATATATATATATATATATATATATATATATATATATATATATATATATATATATATATATATATATATATATATATATATATATATATATATATATATATATATATATATTTTATAAATAATTTAGTAAATTTGATGTTTAAATCATCCATCACTATTCTTTTGAATTTAAGAAATTTTTAACAAAATTCTATGGAGTTTACTAAAAATAACATACATTTTAGATCCTTTCATTTTTATCGTAAAATAAATTATTGTGCATGAAAAACTATTTTTCTTTATGTTATTATTAGCTTCCATAGATAGAATTTTACACCTCTTGTTATGCAAAGAGACTACTCTACAAATTTAACTGTTTAAATTTCATAATATCAAATATTATCATAGTAGAGGAATATCCATGATGATGTCATTTGTTACAGGATTAATAGCTACGATAGAGTAAACGGAAGAAATTATATTGTGTTAAAGAGCTATCATAATTCATATGAAATAAGCCATGAAAATGAATTGTAAATTAACATAAAGCAATGAAACAACCCTATCATAATTCATATGAAATAATTGAATGATTATAATGATTACGAAAATAGTAGAACGATAATTAAGATAATGAAAAATTGTAGAGAATGAATTTGAAGAAAACAAACCTGCAAGGGCAACAAAGGAAGCCAAAAATGCAAGCTTCAACTACAAGAGAGAGAGAAATTCAGTAAAAACAAATAGCAGCCACACAAGCAAATGAAACGTGAAACAACATAAAGAAAAACGCTAATATTTAATTACTCAATAAGGACAATCATGAAATTAAAAAAATAATTAAGGTTAAATTAGAGAATATAATAAAATTATAAATAATGAATCTTTTCTCCCCTCCAAATCCCCCAATTTGAGGGGAGCAAAATATGAGTCTAGGAGGGATTTTGCTCTCCTCTCCTCCCCTCCCCTCCATCTACCTCCAAGCAAACAGACCCTAAAGCTTTGTTGAAAACTTTGAAAACTTTGGTCATGCATGCCTTCGACCACTTGGTCCAACATATTCCTTTCCGTGATTCAGCCCCATGCCAAAGGAAGTTCTATTGAATTCTTATTACCTCATTTATCACTTGATATGAGCTTTGTAAAAAGAGAAGTGATGGACAAGCATATTATTGATGACTGAATTAATGAGATTAACTTTACCTGCTAGAGAAATCATTCTCCCCTTCCAACCAGCAAGTCTAGCTCTCAAAGTTTCTAGCAGTGGTCTCCAACTTTCGATTCTTCTATGGTTCGCACCTATCAAAATCCCTAAGAATTTAAAGGGGATACAATCAATTCAAAAAGCAAGATGCAGCCTGAAAGAAATGCTCCCTTACACCTATACCGTATATTTTTCTCTTCCACATATTTATTCTTAGCTTGGAAATCATCTCAAAACCTCTCGGTATGGACTTAATATCCCACAAATTGGACAATGAAGCTTCACCCATAAGTATTGTGTCATCAACAAATTGTATTAGGTTGTAAGCCACACTATCATTTACTTGGAACCGTTTAAATAGTCTAAAGATTACAGCTTGATTTACCAACCCAACCAAGCCCTCCACAACTATTGCAAATAAGAAAGGTGATAGTGGATCACCTTGTTCTATACCCACCTCAAAGTCCTTAGGAAGACTTCCATTTATCAATACAAACATAGAGCTAGAAAAGTAACCCTGCCCCCATCCAAAGCATCCGTTTGGTTTCAAAACTAAGCTTCCTCATCACGGCCCTAAGATAATCCCAACTAACACAATCGTAGGTTTGTGTAAAATCCACCTTAAACAACATACAATTCTTCTTTTCTCTTTTGGCGTAATCCAGGATTTTATTAGCTACCAAAATTCCATATAATATTTGTCTACCAGGAACAAAAGCAGTATGAGTATTGGATATCAACTTTTCAATAACCTTCCTTAGTCTTGAAGCAAGAATCTTCGCCACCACTTTATAAATACAACCAATTAGGCAGATGGGTATGTAGTCATTCATTTCATATGGATTATCCACCTTAGGAATCAAATCAAGGAAAGATGCTGTCATGGCTTTGGGCAGAATTGTAGTCTCATGAAATTCTTGTATAAAATTAACCACATCATTCCCCCACAATGTTCTAATGGTGCTTGATAAAATCCAAATTAAATCCATCTGGGCCTGAACTTCTATCTCCATCACTTTTCCAAATGAATTCTTTGATTTCTTCTTCTGAAAATTTCTCTTCAAGAGCTTGTCTATCCCCCCTCATCCAGTTTATTAAACTCAAGGTTATCTAAACCAAGTTTGCATCTACCTGGCTCAGTAAACCTTACTTCAAAAAATTCCTTGCAACTTCTTTGACATCAGCAACACTATCCACCCTTCCTTGGTTAGTTTGCATATAAATTATTGTATTTATTCTTACTATTAACTTCATCATTGTGCGGAATTTTTATCTCAATGTTGAAGCCATGATAACACTGTATTCTGTTTCAACAAGCTTTCCTTCTGGTTCATAACTTTCCAAACATCCTCTTGTGCTTTCTTCCACTCCAATTTATCTTCTTCACTTGCCACATTGTTGTCATTGAGGAGATAGTCATCCATGTAATTAAGTTTGCCTACAACATTTTCAACTTTCAATTCCAACCATCCATA